TATATATATATAGAGGGCGGATCAAATGAGTCCAGTTCTTAAAATGAGGCCAGCTCTTAACATGCAGACAACTAACCTAGCACAATCATCGCGTCGTGAGCGAGAAAGCGGACACTCCCGTGATGTTATTCGTAGAGAAAGAGGATACTCGCAAAAATCCCATGATGTCGTTCGACTCTCGCTGGAGAGAGAAAGCTTAAGCTCGCAAAGATCTCTTCAGGTACTCTGTTCCTTCAGGTTTCTATGTTGTGCTTAATATTATTTAGTTCTTATTTCTTTTTTAATGTTTTTTGTCATATGCATAAAAGGGATCTAAAGGATCTGGACCTTGTTCTTATTGTTACATGGTCTACGTCATATGACTGGTTGGAATTTCGTAGTGATAAGGATTGGAAGTTTTGCGGAGCGTCCAAGTTCGTGGGTCATTATATTAGGAGGTATGCCGAAGAGGACAGAAAACATGTTCTCCCTTTTGATCGTAATGTCCATGAATTGATGGAGAATCTCTCCAAGGAGATCAATCTTGCGCAACTTAGGGAGGCCATGCCCTACATGAAGAAAAGGCAGGTTTTTTTTTAATATTTAAGGAAAATAAATTATATTTTGTTTGCTTTTCTTGTGATATTGTAAGATGATTTTGAGGGCTGCCGTTAGAGTAGTCTGTTTTTGTTTATTCTTTCATTTTTAATGTCTCTTTGCTTGATCATTACTGATGCTTGATGGAATGTTTCTTATGTTGATTGTTGATTAAAGAACTTGAAGGTATTGGTCGTTAGTGTCTGTAGATGGGTTGGTTATGTTGTTTTAAGGTTCCTATATTGTCCTGAACATTGATTTTTAATTGGTTTTTTAGGTTATTTTTCTGCATGCATGATCATATATGTTGGGTTTGTGTATTTTTCTGCGCTTCTCTTGTGAGACTATAAGATCGCTTTCTCTTGATGGATAGTGTTGTCTGAATGTTTCTTAAGGATTTCATCTCGAAAAGCTGAGAATGGTCGGGTCACACTTTGAGTATACTATATGGGTTCTTTTATTAACTTTTTAGAATGTATAATATTATTTAACCACTTAAAGTTCCGGCTTTTACCTCTAGGTTCCAAGGTGGTGAACCGAGTGAAATTGAAAGTATAGGAAGCATGGGTTGCCAACTGGTCTATCACCAGTTGAGTATTTTAAACTCATCCTAAAGACTTCGAGAAAGTAAAAGGTA